TGGTTTCTTTAAATTCATTTTAACAAACTGTAATCAGTGTGGAAAGCAGTATTTTGTCAACACGTCAGCTCATTTGGGTTTATTTTTGCAATTAAATGGATTTAAACCGCATCATTTAACAGCTATGAGGAAACTTCCATCCATCTATCGTAGACTTGTCATTCCATCAAATAAATAATCATTAGAATCTAACGAAACACTTCAGTGCATAAACGTATCTGACACCCAAATATGCATAAGTCTGGCCTCGAGGCCAAGTAGTGCACTGTTCAGTAACATAGTTTACACCTGACTGGATGCCCAACCAGCAGGTAATTGTAGGTGTGTACGAGTTTGGGAGGACATTATTTGGAAGATTAGACCGCGAGCAGCTTCAACAATGCTGTCCATCAGGTGACTGTCAATCAGAAATAACTGAGAAGCAGATCTCAGGTGTGAGTCATATGTGGGAGGAAAAGTGCGTGCAATGCTTGTGGGAGATTTTAGAATCGTACAGAAACGGTTCTGAGGCTTCTGTTTAACAACGTGTCAATCCAGACAGTCGCTAACAACCATCAACTGATTAAAGGGCACATTAGCTCATTTTAGCCATTATTAAACACTTCTTAAGTACTTGCTCACAATTATTTTGCACAACTTGGTCCTTCTGTTCAGTGGACATTAAAATGTTTTAAGCTGCTCCTCCCAGCGCTTTTCCACATCAGTTGTGAGCTTTTAAATCTCATGAAGCAAGCTCGAGAAGATCTACTCTTGTTCGACTGTTGAAAATTTAGAAAAAGTTTCATTTGCAATTATAAAATTAATTCAATTGTGGCCTTGTTTCATATCACACAGTGATATTTGAATAGTTTAGATTGTTTATTATTGTAAAAATGTTTGCAGTTCCATTTATTTCAATTATTCAATTTTATGATAAATGTTTGGACACACATTTTGGTCATTTAAGTTTTTTAGAAGTTTATATTTCAATATTATAGGCATTTATAGTAAATGTAATTTGTAGTTTCCTGGCACTAAGGGACAGCACATACATTTCAGGGTAGCTTTCCACCATATCGCTGACTGTTGCCAGTTTATAGGCACATTACTGTAAATGTGACCCGTCGAGCAGAAAGCATGAACCCTTGGCGTGACTTCTCAGATTTTGATGGTCCTTCAGTGAATTCCATCAAGAGAACGCAATGCCGATGCTAGTTTTCTGGTGCTGCAGTTTGCGGATCTGCTCGGGGCCCTGTGCCTGCCAATGACATCATCATACTACGGCAACACCACTTGGCCAAAACATATTGCAGCTCTTTTTCGATTCTGTTCTTTCACATATGTTTTGGAAAGAGTTTAGCAGTGTTGTTATGAAAATGGTGTTTGTTACTGCCTCAATGTTTTTGAACACCGTAATGTAGCTTCTGTTCAAAAGATACAACTTCCGTAAGTCGTATGTCCAGCCAATCATCTAGTGTGACATCAATGACAGGTGCAGGACCCAGAGCCAGCTAGAAGGAAACAAGATTTTTCAACATCTGGACATCTTTTTATTCCTTTTCAACATTTTGATGGATATTTCCAGAGATTAACGGTTAAAACTACAAATTTTCTCTTTAAGAGGGGGACCAAATTTTGATGCATATTTTTTATTAAACAACACTATAGTTACTTTTCCTGCTAATTCGTTACTTTCATGATATTGTAACGCCGTTGCCAACTCAGTTACTTGTCTGAAGAAGTAATTAGTTGTCACGTTGAGGGTGTGGATGGTGGCGGACCATGTGTGGAGGAGCTGACTGGAGGCAAAAATGCAGGCACGGATGAAATAAAAATGGTTTTAATGGTAGAGCGGGAACGACAGAACAAAACAACGCTGACAACAAACAACGATCCGAACAAAGACTGATACAAGAAGGGAGGTATAAATACACAGGGGAAAATCAGGAACACCTGGGCAGGTAAACAAGGGGCAGGTGAAACCAATAGGGACTAATAAAGGGCAGGGGAGAGACACAGTCAGGGAGGCAGGAGCAGATTGTGACATTAGTAACTATATCAAGTAACTTTTTCAAAGTAACTTGCCCAACACTACATCAAATTCTTTAGCTACTTGTGCTCTCTTGCAAAATATCAAAATATGTCAGATCTGAGGTTTAGTTTTTGAGATACTTTTGTTTATTTGACACAACATTTTACACACATGATGTTTAAAGTTTAAGTATGAAAGATAGGAAATATGTGATGTTAGTTATCTAAAATTATTTAGTTTTTCAATATTTGATGGGGGGGGGGGGGGGGGGCTGCTTGTATCAGTAATAGTTTCTATCAGTATCAGAAATTAAGAGTTAGAATGTAGAATAATATATCGGATAATGGTAAAAATCCCATATCAAAAGCAATCAGTACAGTTCTTCACCACCTTTGGCCCCAGAAACAGCAGGAAGCCATCCATCTTCTTCCACCACAAGGCGTGTAACCAACAATGGCACAGGAACTTTATAAGTCATGGTTTTTCATTCCATAAAACAGCAGGGTTAATGCTTTGGGAAGTGTGTTCAAACTTAATGACCCTACAGTAAATACTTGTATTTGGGCTAATAACAGAGGAATATTTCACAACTTCCATGAAACATAAGTGTACCGGACCGGTAAAAGCAGAGCATAAAGTCTAAACAACAAACATGTCTCCAGAGGCTACGCTAACTCTAGTCTATAACGGAACAAAAGGGGAGACCAAGCAAGAAGGACATGCATAGGCCTCTGTCCCCTCTCTGCTATACAAACGATGAACTTTTGGACAAATAAGCCCTGGGGTTCCAAGGACAACTGTCAGGAGACACAGGCTGTGAACTCATGCTAATGAAGGCAGCTCAACCCTGTAAACAGCATGCAAGGATGTCACTGGAATACATTACAATACATAACTGTCTCCCTAGGGCAGAAGGGTTGAATGTGGCTGCAGCTCAGATCAGCCACCATCAAAACACACACACACACACACACACACACACACACACACACACACACACACACACACACACACACACACACACACACACACACACCGAGCAGCTCTTACAGGCCAGGTGAAGCTGATAATTGCTGAGATGACCACAGCAAGATCACCACAACGCTGTGAACCTGGAGATGTTATAGATTTGGTGAAATGGAAAGTGCCAAAGGTTCACCTTTTTTCCCTCCATAAAGCACGACACACATCAGTAAGAACGCATCTTGAAAAGCTGCAAATGTAACTGCTGAGAAGTTAGCTAGCAAAGCAGGGCTCTGAGTCACAATGGCAGCGCTTTAAGCGGAACAAGAGGGAATGAGGCTACGATAAAATGAGTGAAAGAGCTCAGACAGGAATGTGACGGTTTTCAGGTCAATGAGCAGCAGTGTGCAGGAGCGAGAGATGGCGGGCGGGGGGGAAGACCAGCAAACCAGGCCACGGTTAGAGCTAGTCATCTGCTGACTCTTCCTCTTCAGTGAATGTCTTCATACCTCAGGTTAAATGTGTTTCCTTTGCAGCTAGATGGTGATATTTAGAAAATAAAACAATTTAAAATTAATTTATATTTGAAAGAAAAGTAATTTAGGAGCCAATTTTTATTTCGAAATGCACGTTTGTGAAAATGGTACCAGTTATGATTCAATAGCTTTTTTATTTCCTTTGTAAAACAAACTTTTGTTTCTCCTTCAATTCAACAAATAATTGTTTTTTTGTTTGTTTCAAATAATTCTTGGTTATTATTCTGAATATTTCACATGATGATTTTTGTTTTTTGTCCATCTTTTGTTAGCAAATTAGAAAATCAAGAACAAAAATATGTTGACTGGCAGAAGAAATAAATTAAAACAACGTGGTATTTGTTTAAAATGACAATACCTGCTGAATTATCTCATTAAGCAAACATAGACATACTGAAATCTTTAAATTTTACACCAGAATAATTTACTGTCAGTTTTCTTTGCACTGAAAAACCACATATGAACATTTCCACGCTACAGGCCGGTAAAATGTTACAGAAAGTTCTACTGAGACTAGTGGTGTGCATCTCTACCTGCCTCACGATTCGATCCGATTCAGATTATCTGCCAAACGATTCGATTTGAGTCTGAAATGCATCACGATTCTTCACACAAAATTTTCATTACTTAATAAAAGCAGTAGAATAGTTTCCAATTTCTTTTTGATTTCGAAATCCCTGAAAAACAGAACATTCATCTGTTCACTATAGTGAGCAATAATGTTTAAAGTGTGCTGCCTATAATTACTTAAATAATATAAGAAATAATGTTTTCGGTAAAGCAGCTTTAAGATAGAATATTACTGAACTTAAAAATAGTAAACAAATACTGTGTTAAGTGATTCTTTCACATCCAGGATCCCAAAACCGAAATTAGCCCAGACATCCGATTTAAATGTAATGGGTACATCTTTGATTACTGGTAATGTTGGCCCTGTATCCCTGTCCGCCTTTTCTGTTTTAAATTGGCGCTAGGGCAACGCAGTGCGCATGTCATTGCAACTCTGCCCCCAGAAGTAATTGTAAAACCTCAAAACTTTATTGTCCTCGCATAGACACATAGACATAGGGAGAAAATCTCATTATGTCACGTTGCTGCATCGATGCGGAATCATGCACGGCTGAATCGCGATGCATCTTAGAATCGATCATTTTTCCCACCTCTAACTGAGACAGCAATAGGGTTGTGAAAAAGGACATGAAGAAAACGATGGAACAAAAATTTGGAATCTGTTGTAAGTATGAAGTTCCCTCAACTTATTTTCACATCATCCCTTGTGATGCAGATCTTCTTGTTGGTGAATGAGACGCTCAGCACGTTTGTTGTGCATTTCTGCATGAATGCCAAAAACTCTGAAAGATCATCTAAAATCAGACTCCATGCAATTCTTTTGAAATAAACTTTACAATTTACCCAATAAAAAAATACCCTCTCGCCTCCTACTCGCCTCTTTTCTCCACATCACACTGAGTTGCAAGAGGCCTCCGTACCTTTGAGAGATCTCTGAAGTTCCCTGGCAGGGTCAGGTCCAGTTCCTCAGAGTCATAGTTGGTGATGACCCAGGGAAAGACCGGGTACTGGTTCAGGTCATTATATGTCCTCCCTAGAAACACAGAGCAGACAGAAATCTGTGAGTGATGAAGGATTGGAAAAGAACCAAAGGGGTTGACAGCAGGGCAAGCTTTGGTTACTTTAGGGGATCAGTACGCAGCATTCCAACAAGCCCTGATCTCTGAACCCTCAACAACACAGACTTTCTTAAACAGTCTGCCCGGGGAATATACACACTTCCAGTGGAGAATGTGAGAATGTTTTGTGTGTGTCCCCTGACACGTGCTGCTGAGTCCAAGTGAAAGGAGGCCTGTCTCCAAGCTGAGGGAATGTAATTATAGTCATTTAATACATGTTTTTGATGTTGCTGCCGTTATGAACCTTTGATTGGCTTATTCCCTTTTGTTCAGAATATGTTTTAAAAGAGCAAAACATCAAAAGGAAAATCAAAGAGTCCATTTACTCTCGTCCAAAAACCTTTCCTGACCTGACCGTGCTAGAACGAGGTCAAGGAAACGGCACTGTCCATCGCCTGAGACAGAGCAGCTCTGGATGGGTTTTGTAAGAGTTTCTGCTTGTAGCAGAAGACAGGCTCAAACTGGTCATTACAAGGTAACAACACTTTTTTTCTATAAAAAATTCAAACAGCACAAACACAAACCTGCAACTCAGCAATTAAAATGTGTCAAACTATTGCTTATATTAGTTTTCATATGTTTTAGTGAAAAAAGCTAAAAAGTCAATATTCAAAATCGAAACTTTCTTAGCCAACTGCTCTTTTCACTTTTTTATGTAATCTTTATATAAAAGTACCCAAGACTTTCAAAGCTTTCCCTTGAAGGCTGGCTATCTTGTTTCCTTTATGTCAACACGAACTCATGTCTTCAATAAAAATCAAGGTTCAGCTTTTGTCAGCCAATCAATGACTACAACTTGGGGATATTTATTGATTTATTTCATTTTATTCATGCATTATTGCTTAAATGGTTTGGATATTGGATTGAGATTTAAAAAAATAAACTTTTGATGCACTCCAGATATATGTGCACATTTCTATATATATTTGAATGAATTTTAACTCTGACTGAATTACATCTCTAAACCTCGACTTGCAGAACCCGCCTAAACTTATTTTAGAAAGTACTAAATGTCGAGCCGAAATGTATCAACTCTTTGGTTCTTTTGTCTGCCGACTGTTAATTTTAAATCTATGAAAACAACCAAAAAAGAGACAGTTTGACACAAAAAAAGTATTTTAGCACCCACCTATTGGCAGGGTATGATCAAATGAAGGATGCTGAATCTCTCAGATCCTGTTTCAGGCCTTTGATATACTTATTCTCTTTCTTTCTTAGAAACACTGCTTTCAGATCTGCTTTAGATATCCATTTTTCTAGGCCTGGAGCTTTGTTTCTTTTCATTTTTTGTCCTTTTTTATAGAAAAACTGTTCATTATGCTGCAACTGTCTGGTACTGGGAAGAAAATCAACGTAAAAACACTCAAAGTCCAACGATAGGCATTGAAAAGATCTTCAGAAAGACTTTACAACAAATGAAGAGATCCTGCTTGTTGGAAGAAAAATCCAAAAACATTAGTTCACTCATTATTTCTATAAATCTGCTGTGGTGTCTAGTATGAATGAATGTCTTGTGAGTAATTTTCTGGCGCTCCTGTGCCAGAGGGTAGAAGTTTGTTGGAGAAGTGACGGAAAACTCCAGGAGTCTTGCTCATTGATATGCATGATGTGCGAATGTCTTGCCTCTGATTGGCTAACAGCAACATAACTCTTCTGCTGCCATTGTTCGTTATTCCTTCTTAGGTAAAATATGCAACGTTGATGTTTTATCAACACAAATAACACAACTAATGCTAACGGATACATTCAATAGCCTTGACGTGCTCGGCTCTGTACTCGCAGCATAATAATAAACAGCCTTCCGTAGTTGCAAGCCAAAGTTGGTGAGTCCATAGATTTTTCTGACCCACCCGTTTCCCAGTCTATTTTCTTTTGGAAGCTAATGGAGGAAATAGGGGCAGAAGAAATTGACCATGTTCAGCCTGCAGCTGAAACTCAAGAGTGACTGATCGCATTTAAAAAAATTACAAATATTACTCATTTCTCAATGAATCCCTCCTTCAATGTGTTCTACAGTAGCAACAGAACCGTTTGGGGGAAAACCCCATGGGCAAATTGTCAGGTGTGCTCATGCAGCAGAGTGATGTGAAAATCTAAATGTTACTTTTTCAAAAAGTGTGGCAGGTTAGCTGATAAAAAGGCTTCTGCAGAGCGCTAAGAGGGTTTGAGCAAAGCTGGAGAGCATAATTATCAGGGTTAATAGTACACACAACAAGCTGAGCAAGGAGGATGGCATTGGTGTGGTTAGACCTATGGAGCTGAAGCCCGAGTTAGGGTGGCAGGATGTTAATAAAGGTGGAATAGTGTTTAATTAGAAGGAGACTTCACTTTCACGCTTCTCCTCAGCACTTCAACCCCCCCCCCCGCCTGTCTACCTCTCACACTATTCTGACATCCCTGGCAGCTCAGGTCATTACCAGGGATTTTTAAATGAATTTTGGGCTTGTTTTTCTGTCTGCCTTACATCTAATTAGCTCACAATAATGTATCAAACTCCAGCACAAGCTAAATATAAATATGCATGAATATGCAGCGATAGAGGGGATGACACCTCGCTGTGCGGAGTATAGTGTGGAGTCGTTCTTGCCTTCCCTGTTAGTTGCAGTTCAGATCAGAGAGTTGACAACAGAACCTTTCAACTCTGCAGACACTTTGTACACTTTCACAGAGCCAGACACTAATTATCTGGCAAAATCCTCTGCCTGCTTTTTGCTTCAAACAAGCACACTCTCATGAACTGTGAAGTTTAGCATGCTGAGTAGCGCCTAGGGCTAGAGTGGATTCATAAACAAATACGACGTACCTGAGCCCACTTTTAGAATGCTTTCAGCACCACTGACACAAAGTTTATTGATCCTGGTCGCTTACATTAAAATTAGGTGACTATGTGTGAGGGGGGAAAAAACCCCCACAGATAATAGATAATAACTTTAAAGTTTGCAAATTTTACCTGGATGAGGAACGAAAACAAATCAAAATCTATTAGTTTAACTGATGGCTGTAAAAAAATAAAATAAATAAAAAAATAATTATTTCCATACCTGCCGCTTTTTCCAAGCTTCAAATACAATGTTTCACTTTAGATTCAGTTAGCTGCAGAGCAGGAAATCACTACCTGAGATTGTGTTGAGAAACATGAGGTACTCAAAGTTGGAGATTTCTCTCCTCTGCCAGCGTTGGGTCATGTTGGATGATTTGAAAAGCTGTCGAGAGGTTGCCAGAGAGATACGTCTGAAAAATATGTCAACAAGAAAACAGAATGAACAAAACTGGTGTTAAAGTGAAATTACTGTTAATATTAACCTTTATTTTTCAAGGTAGATACACTCAAAACTAGGGGTGTATGAAAAAATTGATACGCTGAAATATTGTGATGTGTTGTGTTATGGTTCTGAAACAATATTTCAAAGCAATGTGCCAAATGTTTCATTGAGATTAGACATGCAAACATTTATTGTATTTCTTTTGTGTTGTGCAATTCAACCTCCGACTGCTAGGTGGCAGCAAATTTTTACGCCTTCATTCTGACAGAACACAATCTCATAATAACAGTGAATGTTTCTTAAAAGCATCTGGCCTGAGGTTGCGGTTTAAATTCAGTCTTAATACAAATATCGTCTGTCTTTTTGTATTGCAAAATATCGTGTTGTCTTCCCTGTATCGTGATACATATATCACATCGCCAGATTCCTGTCAATCCACACCCTGACTCAAAATCATTTACAATGACAACCTGTTGTCAGCTTGTTAAATTGTTTTAAGATGTTGAAAAATATCAAAAAGAAAAAGGTGTATTGGACACACTCCAATTTCACTGATTAGTTACACCTTGACAGTTATATCAGTAAATATCACGTTTAAAGTTGCACAGTTTTAAATTCAAGTTGAAGTTAATACAAACTCATTAAACGCGAGTTTGCATCAGAACCACTCAGCGTGAGACCGTCTGCTTCTCTGTAGTAAATAAAAAGCCTGTTAGAACTTTGGGAGTCTGAAGGGAATCTGTTTATTTTCCCTGTGGTCACTGGCCCGGCCGCAGTCCTGCTGTATAGAGTCTTCTGTCAGAGAATTAGGTCAGTTCAGTCAGGGTCAGTGCACATTCATTTCAATGGCCAGAGCAAAGGGATCCCAAATAAACTCTGCTGTTCAAGGCTGAACACATGCACCACAGCACAGAGGAGACAACTACGGCCAGAAGGAAATCGGAAATGAACAAACATCCAGTAATATTCACATTTTTTCTGGGAATCTGTTGACCCACCTGGCCTGAGGAAGTCCATAGCTGGTGCCAACTCCGACTCGAGGGAGACAATAGACCACTTTCTTGACTGTGGCCTGGTCAGGAAAGTTGAACATGACTGATGCTGCAGGCGGTGAAAGATTAGACTTAATTGTAAAAATAAGAATAAAAAATGCTGAAATGTTTTTACTGTTACTTTACTTACTCCTGTTAGCCATGAAAACTTCCAATGCAGTGTTTTGCAGAAGGTAACGTCTGGAGAAGACGGCTCGGATCTCACTGAACATCCACTTCCCATGTAAACCCTCGGTGTACGCCAAGACCTGGAAGACACAACAGAGGAGAGAAGTTGCCTTTGGTAAATAAAGATTTAATAACAGATGGTTTAAATAAATTCTGGCAAAGCTAAATACTGATTAGTTCTTCTGACTTTGTAAAATTAACTTATAGCTGCAAAAGTGTGATATTTGTTTTGCCGTCGTCGTCTTCCTCCTCTTATCCTGGTCCGGGTCACGGGGGCAGCATCTCATCTAGGGAGCTCCAGACCGTCCTCTCCCCAGCCACCTCCACCAGCTCCTCCGGCAGGACTCGAAGGCATTCCCGGACCAGATTGGAGATGTAACCTCTCCAACGTGTCCTGGGTCGACTCGGGGGCCTCCTCCCGGCAGGACATGCCCGAAACACCTCCCCAGGGAGGCATCCAGGAGGCATCCTGACCAGATGCCCAAACCACCTCAACTGACTCCTTTCGATCCGGAGGAGCAGCGGTTCTACTCTGAGTCCCTCCCGAATGTCTGAGCTCCTCACCCTATTTCTAAGGCTGAGCCCGGTCACCCTACCGAGGAAACTCATTTCGGCCGCTTGTATCCGCGATCTCATTCTTTCGGTCATTACCTAAAGCTCATGACCATAGGTAAGGATTGGGACGTAGATCGACCGGTAAATCGAGAGCCTGGCTTTCTGGCTCAGCTCCCTCTTCACCCCGACAGATCGGCTCAGCATCCGCATCACTGCAGACGCTGAACCAATCCGCCTGTCGATCTCCCAATCCCTCCTACCCTCACTCGTGAACAAGACCCAGAGATACTAAAACTCCTCCACTTGAGGTAGGGCCTCTCTCCCGACCCGGAGTTGGCAAGCCACCCTTTTCTGGTCGAGAGCCATGGTCTCAGATTTGGAGGTGCTGATCCTCATCCCAGCCGCTTCACACTCGGCCGTGAACCTACCCAGCAAGAGCTGAAGGTCAGACCTGGATGAAGCTAGGAGGACCACATCATCTGCAAAAAGCAGAGACGAGATTCTCCTGCCACCAAACTCGACACACTCCACACCATGGCTGCGCCTAGAAATTCTGTCCATAAAGGTAATGAACAGAACCGGTGACAAAGGGCAGCCCTGGTGGAGTCCAACCCTCACCGGGAACAGGTCCAACTTACTACCGGCTATGTGGAACAAACTCACGCTCCTCTGGTAAAGGGACTGAGTGGCCCTTAACAGAAAGCCACCCACCCCATACTCCTGGAGCATCCCCCACAGGGTGCCCCTGGGAACACGGTCATAAGCCTTATCCAAATCCACAAAACACATGTGGATTGGTTGGGCAAACTCCCATGCCCCCTCCATCACCCTTGCAAGGGTATAGAACTGGTCCACAGTTCCACGGCCAGGACAAAAACCACATTGCTCCTCCTCAATCTGAGATTCAACTATCGATCGGACCCTCCTCTCCAGTACCTTGGAGTAGACCTTTCCAGGGAGGCTGAGGAGTGTGATTCCCCTATAGTTGGAACACACTCTCAGGTCACCCTTCTTAAAGATGGGGACCACCACCCCGGTCTGCCACTCCACAGGAACTGCCCCTGATGACCATGCAATGTTGCAGAGACGTGTCAACCACGACAGCCCTACAACATCCATAGCCTTGAGATACCCAGGGCGAATATCATCCGCCCCCGGGTCACCGCCGCAATGTTTGACTACCTCAGCAACTTCTTCCCCAGAGATTGGTCAGTCCATCCCCAGGTCTCCTGACTCTGGTTCCTCCTCGGAATGCGCATAGGTGGGATTGAGGAGCCCCTCAAAGTATTCCTTCCACCATCCGACTATAGCCCCAGTTGACATCAGCAGCTCCCCATCCCCACTGTAAACAGTGTGAGCGAGTTGCTGCCTTCCTCTCCTGAGGCGCCAGACAGTTTGCCAGAACCTCTTTGGAGCAGATCGATAGTCTTTCTCCATGGCATCCCCAACCTCCTCCCACACCTGAGATTTTGCCTCGGCAACTGCCACTGCTGCATCCCGCTTGGCTATCCTGTACCTGTCTGCTGCCTCTGGAGACCCACGCCCTGTAGGCCTCCTTCTTCAGCCTGACAGCTCCCCGAACCTCTGGTGTCCACCAGCGGGTACGGGGGTTGCCACCACAACTGGCACCGGCCACCTTGCGACCACAGCTAGCAACAGCTGCCTCAACAATCTCAGAGTGGAACAAGGACCACTCGGAGTCAATGTCCCTCACTGCTCTCGGGACGCGGTCAAAGCTCTGCCGGAGGTGGGAGTTGAAGACCATCTTGACAGGTTCTTCTGCCAGGCATTCCCAGTAGACCCTCGCTATGCGTTTTGGTCTGCCGGGTCTACGCGGCATCTCCCCCTGCCATCTGAGCCAACTCACCACCAGGTGGTGATCAGTTGACAGCTTCGCTCCTCTCTTCACTCAAGTGTCCAAAACATACGGCCGCAGGTCAGATGATACGACTACAAAGTCTATCATCAACCTGCGACCTAGGCTGCCCTGGTACCAAGTGTACCGATGGGCATACTTATGTTCGAACATGGTGTTCGTTATGGCCAAACTGCGGCTTGCACAGAAGTCCAATAACGGAACACCACTCGAGTTCAGATCAGGCGGGCCGTTCCTCCCAATCCCACCCCTCCAGGTCATGCTGTCATTGCCCACGTGAGCATTGAAGTCCCCCAGCAGGACAATGGAGTCCCCTGATGGAGCACTATCTAGCACTCGTCCTAGGGACTCCAAAAAGGGTGGGTAATCTGAACTGATATTTGGCCCATAAGCACAAACAACAGTCAGAACCCATTCCCCGACCCGAAGACGCAGGGAAGCTACCCTCTCGTCCCCCGGGGTAAACCCCAACACACAGGCAGAGTCTTGAGGGATAACAAAAAGCCAACCCCAGCCCTCCGTCTCTCACCTGGAGCAACTCCAGCAAAGAAGAGTGTCCAACCCCTCTCAAGGACTTGGGTTCCAGAACCAATGCTATGTGTTGAGGTGAGTCCGACTATATCTAGCCGGTATTGCTCAACCTCTGCCACAAGCTCCTGCTCCTTCCCCACCAGTGAGGTGACGTTCCATGTCCCAAAAACCAGTTTCCTTGTCCAGGGATCGGACCGCCAAGGCTCCCACCTTGGTCTGCCCCCCGATCCACACTGCATCAGACCCTTCATGTTCCGCCTGCGGGTGGTGGGTCCACAGTTGGATGAGCCCATGTATCCAGTTCGGGCTGGGCCCGGCCAGGCCCCATGAGCAAAAGTCCGGCCACCAGGCGCTCGCTCACAGGCCCCAACCCCAGGCCTGGCTCCAGGGTGGGACCCCGGTAACCCTCTGGGCCGGGTACTCAGACTCTTTGATAGTATAGCCATGAAAGATCCTCTGATCTATGTTTTGCAACAGTTTATACAAAAACATCTACAGAACACCTAATGAACAACGAGTACAAATGCACCACATCCCTGTAGTCATCCAGGCACAAAAGAAACGCGTTAATGGTTTTTCTACCTGAATAAGTAAAATATGTTTACGTTTATGTTTATGTATTTAGCAGACGCTTTTGTCCAAAGCGACTTCCAAGTAAAATAAATCAAGAGTAAAACAAGTTTGGAGGAGCAATTATGTTGTTAAGCAGATATTTTATGTTTCATAGAAGATTTTTCACTTTTATTTGTAATTTAGGAAATGAAACTTTGATCTATTTCTACTCATTAGGCCCCTAAAAGATTTTAAAAGAGATATTAAGCAGTTTTGCTTGTCTTTTGCACACCCTACTGTCCGTTATTATCTGTGGTCAGAGTAAAAGTGAAACTCATCTCCTCGCTGTGCTTTTGTCACATTAATCTAACTGCTGAAATGTCTCCTCAGCCTTCATTCATTTCTAGAGGTGTAATTTGTCTCTAGATCAAACAAAACATCTGTGTTCACGATCTAAAACATGCTGGAAGTAGACTGCAGCACATAGGTGGTGACCCGGTACTCGTGAGTTGCAAGTGTGATATTCTGGCCACAGAGGACGGTGGGGGTCTGAGTGACTTCATCAATCCTGTAAAGGTTTGTTTTAAGCACATACTGGCTAAAGAAACTGATTTTAAAATATGAAAAAGTTGCATAGTATGGCTTTAACTACACGTGAAGGCTGCTGTCATCAAACAATAACAGCTTGTTCTTAGTAAACCCAGGGTAGCTGAGAAACCTTAGCACTGCTGGTCCACTCGTTTCTTATTTCAACATGCAACAAAAAAGTCCAGACAACACATCTCAAAGCATGTTTCATCAAAACACAAAGCTGTCAACAGATTCTCTCTCACTTTTTTTTTAATCTCATCTAAAATGTTAACCACGACTAAAGAAAAGAGTCAAAGAAAAAAGCCCTCTGGGCCAGGGACACATTAACCATCAATAAACAAAAATCATGTCAAAAAAGTAGACAAAGACTCATTAGTGCATGCAGCACCGCCAAGACAAAAGGTCCACTTGCAGAAGCTCAAGACAATTGTTCTGACAGGTGAGAATGACCCCACCCCCACCCCCCTACACACACACACACACACACACACACACACACACACACACACACACACACACACACACACACACACACACACACACACACACACACACACACACACACACACACACTTTCTCCCTTTCCTTTCATCTCACTGAACAATTTTGTCCAACAGCATGAGCTATGGAGGAACGTCATCAACTCCCGAGGTTATAAACACACATAAAATATGAAAGAGAATAAACATAAAATATAACTATAAAGGCGTTAGGCTCTACAGCACATCTGTGTGTGTGTGTGTGTGTGTGTGTGTGTGTGTGTGTGTGTGTGTGTGTGTGTGTGTGTGTGTGTGTGTGTGAGTGAGAGTGAAGTGAACTGGGCCAGGAGGAAAAGGGGCAAACCAAGATGGCGTGCTGGGTTAGGTCTGATGCTAATGCTCATTTAAAATAGTGACAGGCTGGAAGAGTGCAGCACGAGCTGGGCCACCTTAATTTCTCCGTGGAATAGCTCATGTCCGACCTCCGCGCCACAGC